CAGAGGTTCGGTCATTTTTAAAACGTGAATGCCACACAAAAGTTTGCGGACTCCCCAAATGTTTGCTTTAGCATTTCATAGGTTTCCGTAGCCGTTTTGGCGAGTCTTTGGCAAAATTTGATTTGTTCATGAAAATCCGCCATTCCGAAATCGCAGGAGGGTCGGTGTAATGCACTACCAAAACGCCCTTAACTAAGAAACAAATGCTAATTCGATGATGCCGGCTGGCACACTGATTCACTATGAATGTAGGCCGCACCCCCTAGCGGCAGAAGCTCGTACTACATCCGGTTCGCCCTCTATTGACACAGTCTGGAAACTTTCCCATCGCACCTCGTATGTCTTGGCCTGTTTCAATTTATTCAAGTTATCTGAAACACAGAAACTGTTCTCAGTTATTTACCAGTTACTAAGGCAACCTTACGTGTTCATCTATTTGTATTACCCAGAAAAAAATCCTTTTCATCTCGTTCAGCTACGCTGTAAGGTGGCAGCATCAGCATGTCCGCAAATGTATAACGTTTAATCGTTTTGACTATCGATTCTGCTTCCAAATAAATTGTCACATCAGCTCTGTCTGAAACTTCCGTGGAATCGAATCGCCACAGACGAATCAACCTAGACTGGCAAGGAAGTGATCCGGTTTTTCAAGTCGAAACGTCACCTAAAATGTTTCGTCTATAGAGCCCTCTGACCACAAAATATTTACTGCTGATACACTGATCAAGGGAGCTATAAAAAAAACTGCTCGAAGATGGAATGCAGTTCAAATTCGCCACTACGTCTCTACATACATGAGATAGTGCAACACAGAAAAATACGAAAACATTAATGTCTCGAGTGGGATTCAAACCCACAATCCCTTTGTTCGAGCAGTCAAGACCGCATGGTCACTGTGATACGTCACTTGCGATTCCCTTGCTATACTTAAGCAACATTATAAGACTCCTTAAAATTATCTTCCTGCCATTCAATGGAAATTGCTCTGAACAAACTGGCACATGTATTACTTCCTACCTTTTGATTGTATCAAGACATTACATTGAAAAAGATACATGAGATAGTGCAACACAGAAAAATACGAAAACATTAATGTCTCGAGTGGGATTCAAACCCACAATCCCTTTGTTCGAGCAGTCAAGACCGCATGGTCACTGTGATACGTCACTTGCGATTCCCTTGCTATACTTAAGCAACATTATAAGACTCCTTAAAATTATCTTCCTGCCATTCAATGGAAATTGCTCTGAACAAACTGGCACATGTATTACTTCCTACCTTTTGATTGTATCAAGACATTACATTGAAAAAGAACAACAAAAGAATATTGATTAACAGCTAATTAAAATTATAAATTAATATAAAACTGACAATTCAAACACAAGCTATTAATGAAGCGTGAAGAGAAATTACCGCAGTCAGTTCACTATGAATGTAGGCCGCACCCCCTAGCGGCAGAAGCTCGTACTACATCCGGTTCGCCCCCTATTGACACAGTCTTGAATCTTTCCGATCGCACTTCGTAAGCTATACGAATGGGTACGTGGCTACAACGTTAAGGGAGGAAATCGTCTACCTGAACAATTCCAGCGTGAATACAGTAAATGCATATTTACTTGAACGTGATACCATTAACACGTATAGACAGTTTTTCTTCTTCACTCTGCATACGAATTTCGACTTTGTAAATCAGCTCTCAGTACTTCCCTAAGAAAATTGTTTTGAAAATGTGGTAACAGTTACACAAGTCGTTATTTTTATTAGTATTTTAAAAATCAGAGTTATTATTCAGATCAGAAGGTATCACACACATTCACCATGGAGACGGACTGGGCTTGATCGAGTAGTCGGAAACGTCTGGAAACGTCCGATCTTTGGATTGTGCATCGTAAGTGGAATCATCACGTTTCCACTTTCCTGAAGGTATGACCTTAACGCTCGATTCTTAACGGAGGCCTCTGATCTTTTGTGTTATTCATTACCTCATACAGAAGGTGAGGTAATTTTAGAAAATAAAATTGACATTGCATAAACCATTTCTTCCAGAATGAGACGATACCCATTATTACTAACAACTTGGACATTCTTATGAATTATCAATGGTCTGGTTTTGTTTAGCAAGATCTTTAAGTATACAGGGTGATTCAAAAAGTTAGGGCCAAACTGAAGGAGCGTATAGAGGGACTCAGAGAGAACAGGAATCCATGTCCTCCGAAGTTATCCTGAGTCAGTCGAGGCCATTTAAGGTAGGGAAGTCTGATAACATACCCCTGAAATAACCGTACTTTGCTATTCTCCTACTAGCTTAATTTTTTATTTTTTTTTGTTAATGTACAACGACTACCTTACCGCCACTGTGGTCTAGCGGTCAGAACACTAGCCTTGTAAGCCTGGGGTCCCGGTTCAATTCCCGGTGGTGCTCAAATTTATAACTTGTGTTGGGCAAGGCCGTGGTCTAGGCATCACGGAGTTTTCCTCCGGGGGCTTCCCCGGTTTCTCCGTGGCATCCCAACAATTACTCCACTCACACACAGAAGAAGGCAATGGCAAACCACTTCTGATCATCTCTGCCAAGAACGTATATGAACAGGTCCCAGTCCGAGAAAAGGATGGAAGGATCCTGTTCATATGGACCTGTCGTCAGACAGAACACTACAAATAAAAAATAATAACAACGATTACATTAGAGCATAGCAAAGTACGATTATTTCAGCGGTATGTTATCAGACTTCATTCGACATTTTCGAAAACCGACTGTCCTTCGGTCCCGTTTAGGTCGGCAAATTGAAACCTTACTGTGCCATTAAATGTAATCCTCCTCGTACAGCCTTTTAAATATCAGTGGTAACTACATGAACCTTGTTTTAACATTAAATAACTTCGCATATTACCCACGGAGTTTATTACTGGTCTTGTTTGATTGTCAAAGTAACCAGGAGTTGTTTCCTCAAACATAGTTATCCAATTCAACTCTGTAACGGGGAAGTGTTTTCTTTGAGGTACGGACTGAACTACCTCTTTCCACGATTACACCTCACCGCCTTGGGCACGCAGCAATCATTCTTAGCACAATGCGCAAGAAATAAAAGAATAAAAAGCTGTCCATGTCTGCCAGTTGATTCATTCCAATTCTGTGCGCGCATAAATGTCTGAGCGCAGAATTCCTCACGTAAACGGGCAATCACGAGGAATCCCACATCATGATACCATCACCCAGGCACAGAAGCGACAGACACTATACCCACTTAAAACCAATGACAAATATGACGTCGTATGATTTGAGGTTTTCACAGCGGCGAGTATGAAGATTTCTGTCTTCTGGGTTGTTGCGCTGTGTAGTCTGATCAATGTTAACCAACGTTTCGGAGGTCATACGGCCTCCGTAATCAGGGCGATGAGTATGAAGATTTCTGTCTTCTGGGTTGTTGCGCTGTGTAGTCTGGTCGATGTTAACCA